ACGACGGGCTTCGACCGACACCAAGCGAAGTGACTTCACTACTTGGAAAAGTCGATGTCAACTCGACCCTCTCGGAACAACAACAGACCGAGCTACGTGAACTGCTATATCAATTTGAAGAGTGCTTCGCGTCCACCACGAAGGTTCGTCAGACACCGATCGTCAAACATCGAATAATTACGTATACCGACACCTTGCCCATAAAACAACACCCTTACCGCGTTTCGGCAAAGGAACGTGACGTTATAAATACTCAAGTCAAAGAGATATTGCAAGATGACATTATCCAACTTTCGAAAAGTGCCTGGTCATCTCCGGTCGTGCTCGTGAAGAAAAATAAAGGATCACTGCGCTTCTGCGTGGACTACAGAAAACTTAACAGCGTGACTAAAAAAGACGTCTATCCGCTGCCTCGCATCGACGATTCCCTCGAAAGACTGCGGCGAGCCAAGTATTTTTCATCGACAGACTTGAAAAGTGGCTACTGGCAGATCGAAGTTGATGAACGAGATCGTGAAAAAACCGCCTTCGTTACACCGGATGGCCATATGAATTCAAAGTGCTTCCCTTCGGCCTCTGTTCTGCACCTGCGACATTCCAGAGAATGATGGACACTGTTCTTACCGGTCTAAAGTGGCACACGTGCTTAGTTTACCTCGATGATGTTGTCGTGTTTTTTTTCACCTTTGAGGAGCACCTGAAGCGTCTGCAGACTGTGCTGGAAGTGCTCCGCTCTGCTAACCTGACACTGAAGCCAGAAAAATGCCATTTCGGTTACAAGGAACTTAAGTTTCTCGGCCATGTTGTCGGTGCGGACGGTATTCGACCAGACCCTGACAAAAGTACCGCCGTGGCCTCGTTTCCTGTTCCACGTGATAAGAAGGCAGTGCGTTGCTTTTTGGGGCTCTGCGCGTACTACCGCCGCTTTATAGCCAATTTTTCTAGGATTGCTGAACCACTCACTAGACTCACTCGTGAAGATGTTCCATTCATCTGGGAGGAAGAACAGGACGCAGCTTTCTCTGAACTACAGGAGCGTTTGCAGACACCACCAGTCCTCGCTCACTTTGACCAAGACGCTGATAGTGAAATTCATACTGACGCCAGCAACGTGGGTCTTGGTGCTGTCCTCGTACAACAACAAGAGGGCACAGAGCGAGTGATAGCGTACGCTAGCCGCACTCTTTCCCGCGCCGAGGTCAACTACTCCACGTCAGAGAAAGAGTGCCTCGCTGTTGTATGGGCCACTATGAAATTTAGGCCTTACCTTTACGGACGCCACTTCAAGGTAGTGACCGACCATCATTCGTTGTGCTGGTTAGCCAACCTACGGGACCCGTGTGGGCGACTGGCACGATGGAGTCTTCGTCTGCAGGAATACGATTTCACGATCGCTTACAAATCTGGCCACAAGCACGAAGATGCTGATTCATTATCCCGTGCACCTGTCGAAGTTTGTGGCCACGACACCAAGGATGACGATGGTTTCTTTGGGGCCTTACTACAACAGACCTGATTACGCGACAGCGTGCGGACGATGAAATTCGCGCAGTTTTTGAAAACCTTGAAGGACGCAACTCGTCCATACCTCGATGTATTTCTCGAAGTCTGTCATCGTTCTGTCTGCGAGATGGGGTCCTGTATAAGAAAAACTCCAACAGCAATGAGAGAACCTATCTTCTAGTCGTGCCAACAGACATGCGTGACGACATTCTTCTTGCCTGCCACGATGAGCCCACATCTGGTCACTTAGGTTCCTCTCGAACTCTCGCTCGAGTTCGACAAGCATACTACTGGCCTAAGCTTTCTGCATCAGTTAAGCGATACGTGAAAAGCTGCCGGGAATGTCAACGCCGCAAATCCCCGCCACTAAAGCCCGCGGGACTTCTTGAACCAATAGAACCACCCAGAGCGCCATTTGATCCAATAGGAATGGATTTACTGGGGCCCTTTCCACTATCATCTGCCGGCAACAAGTGGATCGTAGTAGCCACCGACTATTTGACGAAGTACGCCGAAACAAAGGCACTACAACGCGCTACTGCTTCCGACGTCGCCCAATTCTTTATGGACCAGATCGTTCTTCACCATGGCGCCCCGTCGTGCGTAATCACAGACAGAGGAACAACATTCACAGCCCAGCTCATTCATGACGTATTCAAGCTCAGCTGCACGAGCCATCGCAAGACCACGGCATATCATCCACGGAGCAACGGCTTGACAGAGCGACTCAACAAGACCATCGCTGACATGTTATCTATGTACGTAGATGTCTAGCATAAGACCTGGGACCAGGTGCTACCGTACGTCACATTCGCGTACAATACTGCCGTCCAGGAAACTACTCGATTCGCGCCTTTCCGTCTTGTATATGGACGTGAGGTCCAGACCATGCTGGATGCGATGCTTCCACACAATTGCGATGTTTTGATCACTCCTGATGCTGTGCAGCTTACCCAGTACGCCGAAGAAGCACGCCAGTAAGCACGTCTACACATTACGCACCAGCAGAGTACAGACGCATGCCGCTACAACGCTCGCCATTGACAAGTTGAATACCATCCAGGTGATCAAGTTTGGGTGTGGACTTTAGTTCGATGCAAGGGATTGTCTGAAAAACTGCTAAGTCGCTACTTCGGACTATACAAAGTCTTGCGACGCGTGAGCGATGTGAACTACGAGGTAGTCCCTGACGGCGCCTTCTCAGCACGACGGCGAAGACACTCCTCAGAGATTGTCCAGGTGGTGCGCCTGAAGCCGTACTTCGGTAGTGCGACTGCGCATGAACCATATCGCTGTTTTTGTGTATGCGCGTATTTTCTGTTGGTTAGCCCCGACTTTGCCTTTGTACTTTCCGAGCATCAGAGTGATGCCTTTTTTTTTTCTCAGAAGGGGAATAATGCCACTTGGCCGCTAGTTACGGCGAGCGCAAGCCATGGCTGCCGGCGAGAATGGAAGACGATGTTCTGGGGCAGCGCGTGCTCTGGCCAGTTGTTTAATATTGAAGCAGCCATCTTGCCAGTTTTCGGTGCGTCTCCCCGCCGGCTCAGTTCTTCCTAGTTGAAGACCTTTTGTAGCACGCGACAATATATTCACTCTATACAAGTACCGCCATCCAACGGACATTCCAAGGGCTAAAATGAGAGGTGGAAACTACATATAGGAGACTCTCGACCCACGCCTTAAGAAGCTTCACTCCTGGAAAACCGAAGCATTCATTTGATCGAGTGTAACCGGCGAGCGTAAAACACGGCACTCTTCTGACTTCGCTTGCGGATCTGGCTCTCAGTTTTTTTTTGTCTTCGCCAGTGCCCCCTTTACTATACAGCCCTCAAACTTCGAAGTATATATAGTAAGTTTCCAGCACGCGCGTATCTCTGCATCGCATTTATAAATGTCGCGCAAATCTGCAACAAAAATTAAAAAGAAAAGTTTTTTGATTCATAATCGATTGATTGCTATGTAGGGTGTAACGTCCCAAAACCCCCATATATTAATTAGGGGAGGGCTCCGGCAATTACGACCACAGGGGGTTCTTTCACGTGCACCCGATTCTGAGCACACGAGCCTACAGTATTTTCCCCTCCATCGGAAATGCAGCCGACGCAGCCGGGATTTGATCCCGCGACCTACGGGTCAGCATACACACACAGGTACCTCAGCCACTAGACCACCGCGCTGGTGCAAAAAAAAGCTCATTTGAGAATATGCACGTCCCAGCATTCACTTGGCATCTCTGACACCTTGACCCGACATGTCCAAATGAGTGCGAGGTTATATGATTGCGTGAGAGCATTTTTAAGGGCGAATCTTCTTAAGCCATGGTTCCTGCGTCCCCCGGTGTATGTAGTAGATGTTGTAGTAGTAGTACTTGGCCACCTCTCGTTTAGTGTTGGGAATGTCCGCTGGATGGTGGTACTTGTATATGATGAATATAAGATGAAAATATGTGAGATGGCGGTACTTAGAGTGCTCACTAGATGGACGGACGCACGCATGGATGGACTAAAGGACAGACAGACAGACACAGACACAGACACAGACACAGACAGACAGACAGACAGACAGACAGACAGACAGACAGACAGACAGACAGACAGACAGACAGACAGACAGGCAGGCAGGCAGACAGGCAGACAGACGCATGGACAGATGAACAGACAGAGGAACGCACGGACGGGTGGATTCACGGCCATGCGGATGGACGCATGGACGAATGTACGGCATGGACAAACGAACACACGAGCGGACGCAGGGATGGATGGACGGATGGTCGCACGGACGGATTGATTGACATACGCATGGACGGACGCATGGATAGACGGACACAATATCAAACTTACGGAGGGAAGCATGGATGAACGTACGGATGCTTCGCCCCATTGATTATCATTTACTCCGCGAATACACTGTTTCTTTTTTATTTTGTGCCACATGCAAGCTACGCCAACCGTGTGGCAGCTTTTTCTATTCTCTTTAGGAGCGCCGCGGTGCGCAGAAAACTGCGGGCCACGCCCAGCTCTGGATGTACGCTCTCTGCGTGCGAATGGGATGGCTGGAGAGAAATACGCCGCTCGCCCGCCATCTTGGAGGCCATCATCAGACAGACAACCTGCCAGCGTTACCATTGCTGTGTGCGTAAGCGCCGAATTAGCTCAGCTATTCACGTGTGGCGCACAATATTGACAGAACAATCTGAAACCGCCACTAAGGTTCCCAAACACTGCCGCACGGCATGCACCGTGTGAGGCTGGCGTATTTGGTGGCTGAAATGCCATTACAGAAAGACAAAAAAGTAAGCGTGCGTGGAACTATGATTTGTTTGCTTGTTTTGTTATTTCTTTCGCGCGATTTTGTCAGCCTGATTCAGAGCTGAAAACAGACGTGTGTTTTTGAAACAAACAAATACTTTAGCGATTAAACAGTGAAACAAGCGAACCGCGTAGCACTGTTAAATTAAAAAAGACGCAGACGCTTTCACAATGATTTTGTAGACTCACCATCTCTTCTAAAAAAATCAAAGGTGTTGTCGGCAAATATCTTTAAAGTACTTGCGATCCTCGAGTTCCTGTGAAGAAAGAAGAAAAGAACAGTTGTGCTGGTGGAAATTGTAAAACTGAAAGTCACTGTTTGTCTTCTATTATTTTGGCTGTGGACACAATCACAGCAGTGAATAGGCATCAGTGATATCAATACTTCTAGATTAGATCTTCGTAAAAGAAAACTGAAAGAAGGCTGATCTTCTTATGCTGGTTGAACTAAATAAAAGAGATTTTCAGAAGACTGAAGAAGTGTTTACTGCGTTTCAAATTACAATTACTTGCAATTGAAAATGAAACGTCTTTCAGGTTGTGAGGTACGTAAGCTTGAAGTGTGAACATGACTTTGCTGAACTGCGTTTTAATAAATGCTGAACTGCGTTTTCTTTTTTAGATGCGAAGAAGCTTAGGTTCGAGCTCAATCCTGTGCGTGGCGTGACCACCCTTACAGGGCATGCGCGTACGCTCCCCTTTTCTCCTCTCCTACGCTTTTCCCCTCCCTCGCCTCTCAACATCGACGCAAAACGCGTCTGCTAGCGACTTTCTTGATTGAAAAAAGAAATGGCTGCATATCCACGAGCTGAATCATGGAGAGTGGGGCGAAGCATGTGTCCGTCCATTCGTTTGTGCTTCCGTCCGTCCTTCTGTCCGTCTCTGTGACCATCCGTGCGTCCATCTGGCCGTCCGTGCGTGCGTCTGTTCGTGCGTCCGCACATTCATCCGTGCGTCTGTCCCTGCGTTCGTCCATGCATCCGCCCCTGCGTCCATCCATGCATCTGTAGCACCCTCGTTCGGGCGGCGCGCAAACCGGAGAGCGCGCGATGGCATCAGAAGAAAATAAACAAGGCGCTAGGCCGTGGCACGTGAAGCCACGGCTCACGTTCCGGGCTGGCATCGGTTATCGTTCAGGCGTATCTCTCTTTCGCTCCTGTGGCATAAGCCTACAAGTGGTGACCTCGGACGAAGACAATGACTGACTCGAATGCACCCTCAACCGAACAAGCCTCACGTCCGCAGGACGTCTCGGCCGTGCAACTGCGTCTCCCATCTTTCTGGCCACAGGACCCGCAAGTTTGGTTTTATCAGGTCGAGGCACAATTCTCCCTGTACCGCATCACCTCGGAAACGACACGCTACTACCACCTAGCCTCCGTCCTTCCTCCTGACGTTGTTAGCGAGCTCTCCGACGTCCTCTCCAACCACTCGGACACTACGCCATATCAGCACCTTAAAACCAAGGTGCTGGAATGATTCATGCATTCGGAACGCGTCCGCCTACAGCAGCTCTTTGCAGAGGGGGACCTTGGCGACAGGTGCCCCTCCCAACTACTGCGCCGATGCGACAGCTTCTTGGGAAACACGACGTCTCTGCCCACTCAGCGTTGCTTCGCGAGCTCTTCCTCCAACGCCTTTCTCAGCCAATCCGCCTCGTCCTCGCGGCGGCCGACGACGTCAACCTCGACCGCCTGGCGGAGCTCGCCGATCAGGTTCATGAAGCGACCTCCCCATCTGTCAACGCTGTCTTACCACCAGCAGACACAGCGATTTCGCGCCTTGAGGCCCGCATCGACGAACTCGCCGCCTCCATTGCCGCACTCCGGAACCCCCTGCAGGAGACTCGTTCGCCTCGCTCCGGTCGTCGAGCTCTTCCACGCACACGAGATGCTCGGAGTCCCAGCCCTCCACCCCTCTGCTGGTACCACCGGCGTTTCCGACACCGAGCCACGAAGTGTACACCCCCATGTTCGTGGCAGGGAAACGCCTGCCGGGATCACTGACGGCGGCGTGTGATCTCCCTTCTCGTCCCAGCCGCCTTTTCATGGTCACAGACCAGCTATCCGGTGCCAGGTTCCTTATAGATACGGGTGCGGAAATTAGCGTTGTGCCCCCGACTAAGGCTGATCGTTCAAAGTCACAGGGGCAAGTGCTTCGTACTGCCAACGCCTCGTCTATAGCAACGTATGGGCTCCGATCTCTCACCCTCGACGTCAGCCTTCGCTGCATTTTCCGGTGGGTTTTCGTCATCACAGACGTGCTTCAACCGATCATCGGCTCGGACCCCCTCTCGTACTTCGATTTGAACGTCAGCGTGCGGCGGCGCCGCCTCATAGATGGTAAGACTCGTCTCTCCATCTCGGGAGTCCTGTCCGACATCGCTCCAATGGCCACCCGCATGCTGATACCTTCCTCACCGTTCGAAAAAATCTTGGCGAGTTTCCCGGAGTTAACTAAACCGTGCAACCTCACTCAGCCGCCTAAACATACGGTGACACACCGCATCGTCACCCGGGGTCCACCGGCAGCCGCTCGACCACGCCGCCTGTTCGGAGACCGCCTAGCTATTGCTAAACGGGAGTTTGACCACATGCTGCAGCTCGGCATTATCCGCCCGTCGTCAAGCGCTTGGGCTTCCCCGCTGCATTTGGCGCCAAAGCGTGATCCTGGTGACTGGCGTCCTTGTGGGGACTATCGAGCGTTGAACGTCAAGACTGTCCACAACAGCTATCCTCTACCTCACATCCAAGATTTTACATCGCGCCTCGACGGCTGCACAATTTTCAGCAAAGTGGACCTTGTTAAGGCGTACCACCAGATTCCTGTCGAGCCCGCCGACATACCTAAGACTGCCATCACGACGCCCTTTGGGTTGTTTGAATACGTGCGGATGCCTTTTGGACTCCGCAATTCGGCTCAAACTTTCCAGCGGTTCATTTCTGAGGTCACACGGGGTCTTCCTACTGTGTTTGCGTACCTTGACGATGTCCTCATCGCCAGCCGCACACCTGAAGATCATGAGCACCATCTACGCGCTCTGTTCCAACGTCTTCAGCAGTACGGCCTCGTTGTGAACGCCTCTAAGTGTACTTTCGGCGCATCTGAGCTCGAGTTCTTGGGCCATCACATATCATCCAATGGAATACGCCCTCTCCGGTCCCACGTTAAAGCAATTCAGGATTATCCTCAGCCTACAACACTGCGCCAATTACGCCAATTCCTGAGGCTTGTGAATTTTTCCAGGCGCTTCATACCACACTGTGTCGAACTGCTACGACCGCTCACTGACCTCCTTCGGTCGACCGCCGGCCCGTCCTCCGCCATTCCTTGGTCGTCAGAGGCCCAGGCCGCCTTTGCTGCTGCTAAGCAAGCGGTCGCTAACGCCGTGCTTCTCATTCATCCACGCAGCAACGCCCCTACTCGGTTGATGGTGGACGCATCCAGCGTGGCCGTCGGAGCCGTCTTACAGTAGTGCATTAACTCCGAGTGGAGACCCTTGTCGTTTTACTCTCGGAAGCTACTTCCTGCTGAGACCCGCTACAGCATCTTTGGCCGGGAACTACTAGCCATCTACGCTGCAATACAGCACTTTCGGCATTTCCTGGAAGGATGCTCGTTTTACGTGCTGACTGACCATAAGCCACTGGGGCATGTTTTCCGCACTAACTCATCCAAGTACGTGCCCCGTGAACTCCGCCATCTGGCTTATATATCGGAGTTCACGACTGACATCCGCCACGTGAAAGGAGCTGACAACACCGCCGCAGATGCCCTTTCTCGTATAGCCGCGGTTGACTCTCCACCGCCAACCATCGACTGGGCCTCATTCTCCTCGGCACAGCAGGATGATAGAGAGCTTGCCGCTTTTCGGGAGAACCCCCGTTCTCTCCGACTACGCCTGGTGCCTCATCCATTATCATCTGAGCGCTTGTGGTGCGATGTCTCAGCTGACCTTCCCCGCCCTTTCGTTTCCGCTTCATTACGACGCACCGTTTTCCACTCCTTACACGACATCTGTCACCCTGGCATTCGGGCTACTCAGTGTCTTCTCACCCAGCGCTATGTCTGGCCCGGAATCAACGGTGATGTGCGCGCTTGGACGCGCATGTGCCTGCCCTGCCAGATGACAAAGGTCTCCCGTCATACTAAGACGCCGCCCCAACCTTTCCTTCCACCCGGCCGTCGTTTCGACCATGTTCATCTAGACATTGTGGGCCCTCTACCAGTGTCTCAGGGGTACCGTTATATATTGACCATGATCGATCGCTTCACACGCTAGCCAGAGGCTGTTCCAATTCAAGATATCACAGCCGAGACAGTTGCCCGCGTTTTCATTTCTACGTGGGTATCCCGTTTTGGCTGTCCTGGCACCATGACAACAGACCGTGGACGTCAGTTTGAGTCCTCGCTGTTTACTTGCCTTAATCGCATCCTCGGAGCCAGACATTGCCGTACCACGGCTTATCATCCCTGCGCCAACGGCATGGTGGAGCGCCTTCACCGACAACTGAAGACCGCCTTGACTACCCGCCTCAATAGAGCCACCTGGGTTGATGCCTTGCCACTGGTGCTCTTAGGTTTACGAGCTGTCATCCGGGCAGACCTGCAGTGCTCAACAGCAGAGCTGGTGTATGGCACTTCTCTACGGCTTCCGGGAGACTTCTTCACGTCAACAAAGCTACCAGACCAGCCAAAGCAATTCCTACAACGCCTCCTCGACTGTGTTCAAGACCTCCGGCCCGCTCCACCCAGACCTTCCGAACTCAAGACCATATTCGCCCACCCTGATCTGGCCACTGCAACACATGTTTTTGTGCGTCACGACGCGGTCAGACCACCTTTGACACCAGCCTACGACGGACCATTCCGCGTCCTTCACCGCACCTCCAAAACTGCCACTCTACTTCAGAACGGCCGTGAAGAGAGTCAGCTTGGACCGACTCAAGCCGGCGTACCTGGAGACCGCCCTAGAAAGCCTCTCATCTACGACTGATCTTCCGTTGGAATACCACAAACGGCATGTCACATTCCGACTTCCAGTCTACACGGGGGGCCCTGTAGTGCCCTCGTTCGGGCGGCGCGCAAACCGGAGAGCGCGCGATGGCGACAGAAGAAAATAAAGAAGGCGCTAGGCCGTGGCACGTGAAGCCACGGCTCACGTTCCGGGCTGGCATCGGTTATCGTTCACGCGTGTCTCTCTTTTGCTCCTGTGGCATAAGCCTACACATCCATCCGTTCGAGCAGCCATCCGTGCGTCCGTCCATGCATCTGTCTGTGTGTATGTTCGTCCATCTAGTCAACACTCCAAGTACCACCATCTCGCATATTTTCAGCATATATTCCGCCTAAAGAAGCACCGCCATCCAGCGGACATTCCAAGTACTAAACGAGAAGTGGCACACGTACACTTTCTTACAGCTTGCGCTTCGTGTCTACTTCCCACCTTTAACCACCTCCAGTTCATCGTATATACTACTTCACTGTATTCATGGCACTGCGGCCCAACGCTCGCTAAACTTTTCTAAAACTAAGGAGGTTACGCCCAGCGAGTATAACCTAGCAACCCTTTCTTGTCAGATAGCACTCAATTTACAGGCCAATGGCTGCGAATGGGGAATGAGAGACAGGAGAATTCGGCTTTTAGTTAACGCGCACCCTGCGAATTTTTTATTGTTCAACAACGCACAGGGGAAATCTCCTATCGGCACCACCTTGCAGGTCGAAGCGTAAGACTGGTTACGCACTACAATGAGGGATGAACGATTGCCGCTTTAAGGAACTTCGCCCATAAAACAAAAGAAAACGACTGCTCGCATTGCACAACCGCTCACTGGGCACCCTGTATAATAGGCAGCTCCAAGGTAGTGTCAATGGCAGATTTCTCCTGTGCGTTGTCTAACAAATGAAGTTCCAAGCATGCGCGTGAACTATATGAAAGCAGACTGTCGGTCTCTGTGTACGATCGGAGTGTTTTTGTCTTTCATCGCCCATTAGCAGTGATTGACTCGTTCCATCAGGAAACGCCAGTCCAGCACTGCGTGTTTTGCGCCTCACCAGGTTTCTCCTCTGCACCAATGTCATCGCCAGTCAAAGCGTTAGTGTCCGCTGCTTCGCATCTGCTCATGATCCCCTTCATTGGGAAATGGCTTAATTTTAGCTTTTTTCTCGCTGACATTAGGACGAGAACACATAGTGTTTAAGTTGATCTGTAAGACTACCAAAGTCAATCTGAGAGGAATATGATTATTTGGCATACGCCCTTACAAAAAGATTGTAAACAGTTAGTAAACGGGTGTATTCACTAGCTTCCAGTGTACTTTACTACCTACGTTTATTATTATTAAAATGGTGAAATAGGAGATACCGGTGCCATTATGGTGGCACCGGCTACTCCTTTTTTCTTTAACGCTTTATACCTTTATTATCCAGCAGCTAGTAAAGCTTGTAACTTCGGCCGTTACTAACCAGGTAAGCGTTTTTAATTGAAAAGTACAAAGTCACCTACGTTACCCGATCCTTCATAGATGCACAGAACTGGCGATGTATAGTATACAATGAACAGACCAAAACAGCAATCGTTCTCTCAGAACCTATCCGCCGCCCCTCCCCCCGGTTTATAAGCACACCGACTACGTTCTGCGGCAAAACGCGGGGGATGGGGTCGCCATCCGCCACGCGAGTGCCTTCAAGACTCCACTGCAACGTCGCAACAGTCCCCCTTGAGGAGGGAAGCAAGATCCGTTCAGAAAGGCCGGGTTGTTACGTATTTTCGCATTACTTTATTTTGATTGGAGTTGAAGTTGTTTGTCCAGTTAACGAACCCAAGCAGACAAACATCTGTCGAATGTTTACAATCTGCTTCTAGCGGCACCGTCTGTCCCACTACGTTAACAATGCTGCGCAGTGTTATGGGTACGCTTCATCGCTTCCGTGTCTTGCAGACTTCAAGAAATGAGTCCACTTCTAACAAAAAAAAGAAGAGACGTCATGCTGAAAGAACCATCAGTTGAGGTTCCGTATTTGCGTTTCCAACGCCACCTTGAAATACCCCTTTGGTGCTGTTGGTCTTATAAAGTTTACACTGGCAGATGTTTCGGTGAGCGTGCGCAGGGGCACAACCAATCTTTGCGCACCAGTATGGGCAGCAATCTCGCCCTGCAATGAAAAAGGTGCGAAAGCAAGAGCTGCTCGCCTCATCTGGAAAAACCGAGTTCTTATCGAATGCCAAGTCGAGAACTGAAAGAGAAATCGTTGAGGCGTTTTTCGTAGCAGTAATATATCAGCTCTTCGATATTTTCAAGCGACGAATTACAATTCCTAGGTGGACAACGCACGTCACTCCAACGTATGTTGTGCGCACGTGCACCTGCTGGTTTTTAGATGAAAAACAGCTTATGACAAAGTTCAAGCAGGTGTGCGGCACGAACACCTTTATTGCGCATGCGCACAACCTACGCACTCTCCTCGCGTGAGCGAGAGGAACTGGGAGAAGGTGAGGTGATGGTGGTAGTGATTAGAAGAGGAGAAAGGCACCTAATTTCTGCAGCCCCGCCGGCAGCACGGCGCATTGCCTAAGGTGAGGTGAAGGAGGTGGTAGGGCGATTCATCGCCCGCAAGTACGAAGACTAGGCAAATTCATGTACTACACATCATTCCCATGGTCGCTGAACGATCGCAGCGCCATCATAGATTCCTTGCCCAATTTGCTACTTCACTTCTGCTTTAAGCTGCTGCTTTAAGCTTGCATGGCCAGCCACGGTGGTCTAATGGCTAACGTACTCTGCTGCTGACCTGCAGGTTGCGGGATCAAATCCCGGCTGCGGCAGCTGCATTTTCGATGGAGGTGAAAATGCTGTAGGCCATGCGCTCAGAATTGGGTGCATGTTAAAGAACCCCAGGTGGTCAAAATTTCTGGAGCCCTCCACTACGACGTCTCTCATAATCATATGGTGGTTTTGAGACCTTAAACCACACATATCAGTCAATCAAATCAATCTGCTCTAAGCTTCTGCTCTAAGCTCTATGCTTCTTAATCGACAGCTTTCGGATTATCTCGAAACACATAAATTATTATCTCCAGATCAGCACGGACTCCGCAAGAGTCTTTCTACCATAACGCAACTTGTAGAATCAATACCTGATATCTCTAAAACAATCATTAGCCATGAAGAAATGGTTATCATCTTTCTAAATTTTTTCAAGGCATTTGTCAAAGTATCGCACGCAACATCGCTGCTTAAAGTTCATGTTTTTCTTAAAGTTACGCAACTGAATTGATTCTTATTTTCATTCTAGATGTTATACGACAAAACAGGTGTCTAAAAGTAAAATGCTCGGCCACTTGTATCAGGGGCACTTCAAGACAGTGCAGGAGATCTCTGCTCTTTTTTAATATTTATTAATGATATTACAGTGTGCCGAAATGCAAACTTTGCTGATATTCAAACTGTGTTGAAAAGCGAATCGGCCTACTTAAGCATTAGTGACCGCAGTGGAAAGATTCAAATTTCTTTTCATTATTTTTCATAACACGCTGGATAATAACGGGATATTAATGTATAATATAGATAATAATGTATAAGTGATAATAATGAATAATAATGAATAATATGGATAATGGATAATATGGATAATAATTTATAATGAATATTATTGGATAATAAGGGATAAAAATGGATAATATGGATAATGGATAATATGAATAATATTGTATAATGGATATTAGTGTTTTGTTGTTGTTGTTGTTGTTGTTGTTGTTGTTGTTGTTGTTGTTGTTGTTGTTGTTGTTGTTGTTGTTGTTGTTGTTCAGATTGTCACCAAATACACGTTTCACACAGACATAATATGCTTACAGAACCTCCATTGACACGAATTGACTTCTTTAAGTATAGCTACTTTTCTCAAGTAATTAACTAGTGAAACATACTGTCTGATTCACTGGCTTCCTCTCCTTTTATTATTGCATTTTTAAACAAACTCTATACTCTTAGCTATTCGGATCATTTGGTGTTTCTAACCACTCATCATTCACTTCGCGCTGTGCTCGCAATAAGTGCGTTCGTGCTTTCCTCGTCATTCCTCTTTTGACTATTCATTGCGTATCTCTGAAGCAAGCGGTGCCCTTGAATTTATGTTTGCATTTATGTCGCGCGTATGTTTTCTACATTATTTATTTAATTGTTATTCATTTGTAACAACGAATAACAATTACTGTTGAACAGTAATTTACTGTTAAACATATAAACAAACAAACAATCTCATTTATCAGTCTTATCCAATCGTATAATTTACTTAAGTGCCCCCATATGCTTTAGCCTTGAAATAGAAAGCTATATATAAAAATTGATCTTTATGCAGCCAGGACTAGGCCTGACATTGCCGTGGTTGTACGGATATAGTTAAGTAAGATCTAACAAAATATCGCTTACTGGTTATTTGGAAGGTACTCCATATAGGAATAGTCTTGCGAAATTTCTCCGGTATAACTGTTACAGCTGATGCAGCCGACCCTTTGAAGAGCTTGGCACATTCCGTTGAAGTCGGACTCTGATGAGGCCACCGAGATGAAGTGGGGGTAGTCTCGCATAATCTGGGCATATGAACAACTGCAATTGGTATTGTTTTGCGGTGTGTGGACCGCCATGCGCCGGCATTTATGCACGGAGAACAGACTCGTCATTTCGGGTTAATGTGAAGTACGTTAGGATTATGTGAGCGTAGACAAGCGCCAGTTTGACGCTGTAAACGTCGCAGACGGTGAAATGGTCACGACTGTTTTTTGGTAATCTTCATTACTATTATTAATTTCTGCTACAGAAATAGTCGATAAGAAGTAGTTGAGATGATATGGTCCTCACGTTCACCACAAAAAGACAGTTATAACTGTACAGAACGAAGGATAAGTGTGCGAGAAGCTTTTGGTCAGTAATGTCAGTCTCTAACATAAGTTAATATTGAAATCACCAATTGCATTCCCAGTGTTTTGTACCTTAAGTGAATACACTGAACATGAACCCTATCAGTTCGTTCCATTCGTGTATTTGTTCACTATCAATTTTTCCCGTCACCTACATACTACTACTACTACTACTACTACTACTACTACTACTACTACTACTACAACAACTGCTGCAGCAATAGAAGCGGCAAATATTTCGTTTGGGAGCGGGTTAGGATTAGATGATTGCCAATAGGATTAGTTGATTGCCGAGACTAATATCCCTGCCACGCTGGCACTCCAACTCTTTCGAGCGAAAAGACTGCCCCTGCTTAAACAGAATATCCAAACAAGATCGAATTTCAGGCGAATACAGAGGCTGGAAGGTATTAAAAATCTTCAAAGTTTAATTAATCTCTCTAGAGCATATGTTCTGCTAAGTGGGCCAAACTTCGTAAATGTTTCTGCTTTCACGGAGGGCACTTCAATTTTAAAAACAACACCCCATGTTTGAGAATTTCTCATCTAGAGAGGTGTCAACTCCCGGATGTAACCACCTCACACTTTTTCTGTACTTGCACGCGTATATGCCCCTAAGTCGTCGTGGTCACCTACGCACAACAGGCCTCACACCTGGCTGACGCCAGACGTTGACCGCCTCATTCGTGGACATCACCACCGCTCATTACTTGACTTTATAAATGAAGCAACCATGCACGTATATCTTGAATAGAAAGTAACAATGCATTTGGCATACTTTTGAAATAAATTAAATAAATTTTGTGGACACCGCTTTCCTATACGGTGACCAGACTGACACAAAACACGTCATGACACTTTCTACATCACAATTTGGCCTCCACAACTGTGTGGTGACCATGTGTTATATTGACAAGACATTTAAGGAAATCAATGGTATGACAAAACATCGTCTTGTCGGGAAGAAACATGAAGTACAAACGAAACAAAAGTGTGCCGACCAAAACAAAATGTTCAAAGCATAAAAGAAGAACGTTTCTGCTACAATGTGGTAGCCGAAGCTCGTCTTGTTCACAGACTTTATTATGAACAAGGCCACGCTAGGGTAACTGGTATGTTAATAATAATGTAAACATTTTCATTATGGTCAGCGCTCTTTCATTTCGTTTGTACTTCATTCCAAATATTTCAGTGACAGAATGGAAGGTACACCATACGAGATAGCAAAACGCCATACTTTTCTTAAATTAAGTGTTGAAAATTGCATTGTAGTGTTTTCTACGAATAAATTATTCGTGTCGTCACGTTTTCTAAGTCATAATTTTATTACAAAACAGCCTTTGGTATTTCCTTCTAAACTGAAGGGGGGGGGGGGATGGTAGTGCACAGCGCCTGCTGGAAAGAGGCAAGGCGTTGCACGCCTATCCCGTACTAATATTTTGAAAGCATATGCGGTTAACGAAATATGGTTTCAGTAGCATTTTATGCAGTCCCAAAGAAAAACAATTTTCGCAGCGACACTCGAGAAAAAAAGTGAATTGTGTGAATCAGTGAGTCGCGAATATCCTAAAAAGCTATATGGGTAGTATTGAGCAACTGTCCCGTTTGCATTAGAAAAAAATCGACGTGTGCACTCAAACTTCTTCCCAATTTTGTATAACTGTGTCGTAAATATATATATATATAAATATATATATATATATATATATATATATATAATATATATATATATATATATATATATATATATATATATATATATATATATATATATATATATATATATATGTATATATATATATATATATATATATATATATATATATATATATATATATAGGATAGAAAAGAGAAGCTAAGAGCCTTTTTTTTGTTTGAATAATCACATGCACTCAACGAGACATTCAGGCAAAGTATGGCACAAAGGACAGTATTTGTTGTTTTGAACGTTGTTGTCGTTAAGTTAGAATGAATACAGTGGACGAAGAAGCGCCCTCATCATCGGATGGAATCCCAACCTACAACCTACAGCCGATTCTCCACGAATATCACTACAATAGATGGCGCTCATACCTCTATTTTTGTGTATTTATTTGTGTTTTGTTTCCGGAGCGTAATAACCAGCTCCAGCCAAAGACAAAGTTGAGAATGTGGACCACTCAGTGTACATTTTGGAACTCCGAGGTCCTAGGTTCCACCCCCATGGAGTGTATAATCGTCAATTTCGACTCGCCCAATTTACCTCGCAAACATTCCAATAGAGTTCACATAAAGTAACAACGTCGCCCATAATTTATTTGGCTGAAATATTTATTTCCTACTTGCAGTTATGCCATAACCATAGTTCCGGACTAGCAAAATTCTGTGCCGAAGACTACGTAATATTATTGTACATATTGTAATATGAGAAAGTGTAATATTTAAAGAAATCCCACTCTGCAGTGTGTTTTCTTGGATATGTCGGGTTTACTTTTTGTATATATCATGACTCAATATATTCCGCATATTTAGGCATTTGTGGCCATAACATAATTTGTTGTTTTGATTTCAGTGTAGCTTGTGTTTTTTTCTGATATACTTTCTAATGATTATTTCCGTTAAACTTTTTCACGGTGTTTTACTCGCTTACGGAATGGCCAGAGAAACATTTGTGACCCGGCGAAAGGAATAGAATAAGAAATAAATAAATAAACTAAGGACAATGAATAATCCTAGTCAAGGTTAAGTTGTGCTTAATAACTGCATTCTTGGAAATACAGCAAAAAAAGCCGCGTGAATAACTGGCCTCTGCTTCACTTTCTTAAATGATTTTCACATTGAGTATGTTGCACTTGAAAAAATTGGTGCAGAATATTCATTTCAAATTCTGATTTATATATAGTGGCCAAGAAGCACCAGTGGTAATTGGTGTGATAACCTTGACTAAACACGACAGGCGTTAAATAGATGCGCTTTTGAAACTCGATTTAACGACGCTATGGCAACGCTCTAATTCTTATGATCACTCTCAAACCACTCTCACCGCTGCTGTATTGTAATCAGAGGTACTCACCGCTTCGGTTTCGCTGTAAATGTAGATTCCGTTCAAAAATGCGTCGGCTCTCTATTAACAAAGGCGTAAAAAGACAACAATGAGTGTCGTAGTCGCAAAACGCATCATGGTAAAATACTATCTCAATGATTGTAGTACATTAGGCGCACTCACGTTCTTAAAGTCATCCAAGCAACTTCTGCATTTTGAGTACTTTTCAAAAATGTGCTTGAAATCCTATTGACAAAGACAAATAAAAAATCATGGCTCTGGTTCCCACAAACCGTCATTTTAAAATGCTCTCTGCATTGCTTAAGTGCATGGTAGTTACTCACGACTTCTCGCTGTGTCGTATAGGCATACGATTTACAGTAGGCACTAAATCTGCGTACTTCGCCTTGGCAGTACAATGGTGTGTAATTCGCCACGCAAGGCTTTAGGATATCATAGACGCATGCGGCGATAGTGTTGTTTCCACTCACTTCCCAATCAGGAAAGTTTCTCTGCCGAAAAAAAAAAAGAAAGAAACCCATGTGTCCGATTTTTACACGACTTCCTTAGGGTGGAATTCTCTCCCCTCAGCTGCTACCTGTCAGGAACCCTTACCTTCATTATATTGACCGCATTGGTCTCATAGGTATCAACAGAAGATTCACTGATACCGCACAGCATAACCACGCTGAAAATTGCACCGGCAACTTGTCCTCCTATCATCCTAGATTATGTGGCCTGGGAAGGGAGCAGTGCAAGAGCGTCAAACACTGTATAGTCGGGTACAACTTTAGAAGACAGGAGGGGCCGCGTTCAGATGACCGAAGCGCAGCAGCCAATTCGCTCCGTGACTAAAGAAATATTTCTGCTCAAAAAAATTGTGAATGCTTCTAAAATGCGTATTTCTATAAGCAACTTCCCTCACACATCATGCTCGATTGGAGAAGTGGCATACAAACACATTTCAAAGCTGGTATATTTCTGAATTGAAATACTACTGTTCCCTGATTGTCGTTGGCAAGCTCAAAATGTTCACTTCGGGCAGCTAGACGCCCAGCTGCCTAGTCACTCTGCTGCCAACGATCACATTTGCTTTCTGGGTGACTCGCTCGCTGGATTTCGTACCCACCAGTAGTGCCCCCGTGATCTCAGACGACAGCGCAGCTCTGGCCGACTAGGCTCGCCCTACGCCATTTGCAGACACCGACAAGAGCTCTCGCCGAGTGGTTACCCGTCCTCGGACTCCTGCGACCACGTCCATCTTTCCTATCTTATTTCCGTCGTTCCCTGTCCCTGCGCCTCGCTCTCTCCTTCCTCTTTCTCTATTTCTTTACCTTTTCATCCTTTCTTTTTAATCCCTTCTTTACCCCCACCCTTCGTGAGCTAATGTTGAGGTGTCCTCCCCCTGCGAGACAGTTACGGAGCTCACTTTTCTTTTCATTTAACATCACTCCCCCCTCCCCCCAAAGGTCACTCGTTTGCGCGCTGAACTGAAAACAACGAAAGCAACATGTTCTCCGTCGGTGGGTTCACCAGCCGTCAGAATTACGAAGTCCCCTCAAGAGAGCGCCTATAGGTAGAGGCTTGTGTGCATCCACATTTCAGGGGAAACTGCCGCTGCCTTCTAAAGTTGTACCCGACTATCGATGCACAATAGGTAATCAACAATTGGGAACGTACTACGCAATACAAATGGAAGTGCCTCAAATGTAAACAGAGCGCACGAGTCCTCGCATATATGTGCACATATGACACGGCGTAAGATATAGACAACAGTGTAAAAATATCGTGTTTCAGCGTCGGAACTGACCGTAACGATCACAGACTATGATTGGTTTCTCGAAAAAATGGCGGAAGTGGACGTACAACAACAATAAAACGGAGCGAAAGACCATAAAAGAGCACTATAAAGTTTTCGTTCCTGTGCTCATTCTGTAAAAAAGACGAAAATTACGTCAAGCTGATGTATTTGTCACGTGAGGCACTGGAATTTTGGAAGCCGGAAGCAACGCCATTGACACTTTTGGACTCGGCGACGGCGGTAATGGGACGTCGTGTGATATATTGAGGTTTTTGTTCGTACGTAGCAATTCGTTAACTTATACGTGTGATTGCTTTTGGGCGTTGTGCGATGAAAGATGACGTCCACACTTTGTCCGTTAGCCAGTCATCATCACGAAAAAAATTGGCAGATGCCACCTACAGTGGGAATAGCTGATACGCGGAGCACGAATGAAGAAAGTTGATATGTCACTTTAAAATCAGCACAACGTTAGGAGGTGGAGGTAAATTGTGCCGTACGTGACTTTCATGTCATGACTATCACGTTTGGACGTGTCATTTGCCTTTCTCATTAATTCGGGTCACCTGATACCAAATTTGGCATATGTGCAGCCAGCGAAACGGCCGTGAGCATGCTGTGAGCGTAGCATGTAGTCATGTTTTACATGATACCAATGACATGATTCTGATGTTTGGACGTTTCACATACATTCGCCGTTCATTCACGTCCCTTAATACCAAACTTGGTATATCTGAAGATAGCAAAACGACTGCGAGCGTATCATGAGCGTGGTGCGCAGTCATGACTGATGACTTACATGACATGCATACCATAGTTTTTTCGTTAGGGTCTGCCACACTTGTGTTCGTCATGCAGTCATGTCATAGCACGCCAATTTCGTAACATGTCGTGTGAACGAAACGACCGGAAGAGCAGCAAGGCCATGAAATGTAAATAGTGACATTCATGACACACATGTCATGGTAATCATGTTATGGCTAGTCAATTATGCTCGACATACCGTCATGTTATGCCGTACCAAATTTGGTATAGATACCATTAACGAAACGGCCAGGAGAGCTAAAAGTCGTAGATAGATAGATAGATAGATAGATAGATAGATAGATAGATAGATAGATAGATAGATAGATAGATAGATAGATAGATAGATAGATAGATAGATAGATAGATAGATAGATAGATAGATAGATAGATAGATAGATAGATAGATAGATAGATAGATAGATAGACGGACGGACGTACGGACGGACGGACGGACGGACGGACGGACGGACGGACGGACGGACGGACGGACGGACGGACGGACGGACGGACGGACGGACGGACGGACGGATGGATGGATGGATGGATGGATGGATGGATGGATGGATGGATGGATGGATGGATGGATGGATGGATGGAAACGTTCAAAGTCGCTGAAGTTTACTAAGAAATGCTTCGCATTTCAAAGCGGCTGTGTGCTCTCTAAAACGGATACATCGAGGCTCTGACATGCCGTGGCGGCGTGGCGGTAAATTATGCGCCATTGCTGGTGGTCAATGATCCTGTCATCACGAATGGTGCAGGCAAGTGCTCGGTTTTTTTTTTCGTGGGTGTTTGTCTCTTGTGTCAAGTGTTATCACCGTACGTATTGAGCCGTTTAGTGCTAAATGAAATGTGGAAGCACACGCCGGCTGCTTTGCGCTATTGCTGGCTGCAGCAACCTTCGCGCTTTCTTCTCTTTTCTCGTCGTCGAACTTTCGCGGAGCGACACGTTCACGCGCTGAAAGTGTGCCTTCCACGGTGCGCCCTGCGCTGCTATGTGTGCCGTTCGTCCACACGTGCGTTACTGTATGTGTTTTTCCGAAGCACCTAACGTCCTGTTATGGCCGGCAGAGCAAGAACATGGCCTCCAAACACGCTCGTTGGCGTACCGTCCGAATGCGGCACGCGTCCTGCAGGAACGCACGCGGTGTCTGTGCGCGCTGCAGGGAGGAGGAGGAGAAAAACTTTATCCCAAGAGGGAAAGGTGCGGTGGTGGAGTGCCAGAGGAGCCTACCCAGCGTAGGTCTCCGCTACCCTCTTGGCCCAATCCAAGATCTGGTCCTGGACCTCGGGCGCCGAGCTGCACATAGCAGCCTCCCACTGCTCCATATTATTAATGTGTAGAGAATTGGGTGGTGGGTTTCGAGTACACCCTCACATGATATGGTCTTGGTTAGCTCTTTGTTGACAGAAAATGCACAAAGCGGAGGGGTAATTGCAGGGTGTATAAGATGGCGAAAAGATGGGGTAGTAAACGTACGCGTCTGTAGCTGGCGACATAGTATTTCATGGTAGCGCGAAGCTCCATGATGTAAAGGGGGGGGGGGGGTACATAGTGCGCTGTAGGCGGTAGTGATTTGTTATATCGTGGAAGGTCAAAAGACGATCTCTCGCGCTGAAAAAGGCCGCGTGGTCTAAGACGCCATCAAAGGCCTGCGCTCGGCCGGTCAATCCTCGAGCACAGGTATGAGCCGCCTTATTGCCACTCAACCCCGCATGTGCGGGCGTCTATATGAGAGCAACGTCTTGCGTGGGAGGATGTTTCTCAAGAATTGAAAGGGCAGTTGATTAGATGCGACCTGCGCTGAAGTTGCGCATGGCAGTTTTGGAGTCACTTACAATCATAGTGATATTGGGGATGGATAGACCTAAAGCGATGGCAGTCTCCTCTTCCTCCCCCGAAGAGTTGACAGCGACGGATGCTGTTGGGAGCGCCTTGCCGTTATAGTCGACAGCAGAGAGGGCATAGGATGAGGAGAAAGGGTATTCTGCCGCATCGACATAGAGCACGTCATTGGCTCCATGCACTTTTTTCTGAAGAAATTTTGCTCTTTGGATTCTACGCTTAGTGTGATATGTTGGATGCATGTTTTTAGGAAGGGGCAGTATGAGTAATTGTTTGTGCGTGTTTTGGGGCGTGTTGTATTTAGCATTGGTGAGTGAGGCAGAGTTAATTTGGGTAGACGATAAAATGTGGCGACCTGCGCTAGTGGTCGTGAGCCTTGCGTATTGAGCTGTTAAATGGGCTTCACGAATTTCACATAGGGTATTTATAACTCCTGTCTGGTGGAGTAGCACATTAGAGGTATTTATTGCAATCCCTAGTGCGTATTTGTAAACTCTGCGGAGGAGGGTGTTGACCAATTCCTTCTCTGCTAATTTAAGGTAAAGGTAAGTGAGGGTATATGTGATTTTACTAATCACAAAAGCTTGTATTATACGAAGTAGCTCTGACTCTCGGAGCCCTCCATTTTACCCTGAGATTCTTCCTATCATTCTTAGGGTGTTTTCAACGGTATTGCGTAAAGCTTCGACTGTGTGCGTATTAAGTTGGTTGTTTTGGATAAATAAACCTAGCACACGAATGCGTGATACTCTAGGAATGAGGCACCCATTTATGTGAACTTCGATCGTTGGAACGTGTCTGTTCCCACGATGAGCTGGTAGAAGGAGTAACTCCGATTTACTCGGGGTACAATAGAGATTCATCTGAGATGTTAGTGCTGTTATTATATCTACAGCTGTTTGTAGGGTGTCTTGAACTTGTCCATCTGAGCCTCCTTTTACCCATAAGGTGATATCATCAGCATATATGGAGAAGTTCAAGTCAGGGATACGTTGAAGCGCGTTGGGTATCGGTAGCATAGCCAGATTAAAAAGGACTGGAGAGAGCACTGACCCTTGAGGTGTTCGGAAGCTGCCTAGTGTATAGGGTGAGGAATGTTCTGGTCCTAATGTTAATGTAGCTGTGCGGTCTGTGAGGAAGCTTTTGATGTAAGAGTACATTTTAGCGCCACAAGAAATGCAGTTGAGGCCAGCATATATAGCTGAGTGGGCTACGTTATTGAATGCTCCATGTATGTCCAAACCAAGGATTGCCTGAGTATCCTCGCTCTGGTTAGGAGTTATG